GCCCAGCCCTGTTTCCTCAGTGCTCCTGCCCTAGCCTCCCTCACTGGGACTATGCAGCAGTTCCTCCCTGTGGTCTCCCAGAATCCAGACTCAGCCCCTTCATTCCATACTGCCACCAGCCACCAGAGTGTCCCAAGAAAAAGCCTCCTTTTCCCACCTGGGGTGGGAGGTGGCCTGGTGGAGGTGACTAGCCCACACCAGTCATTCACTTGCACAGAAGCTGCTTATTCCACTCCCAAGGTCAAAATAAAATGTTGTTTGGCAGAAATGAGAACTCTCTAGCTAGGTCCTCACCAAAAACCTGTGACAAGAATTCAGTTTCCACAAGGCAAGTGATTGCTAACAGGATTCTGCTAAGGTCATAGCTGCTGTTCATCCGGGAAATCCCAAATCCTTTTCCATTTCCCAGTAGCCAGTGCTCTGATTGATAAGATCTTAGATGTGTTTTCGGTATTTTCCCATCCAGGGTGGGTCTTGTTCTTCTGGTGGTGATTTTATCTAATTCTATTTACCCTAAGCTGCTCATATATGCATTCCTTGTCTCCACAGACTGTTGGCACTGGACCACCTGACTCTCCCCACAAGAGGGATTTGGGTGTTGATTTCTCTACTTACAGGGGATTTGAAGTTCATAGTAACTGCTATCTTCTAGTTATGCTGCAAGGGTAGTTTTGTGTAGTTTTATTTGCTTTCCTTCTTGATTTATACAATTTTTTGAGGCAGTGTGAAACAATTCAGATTTATATGAACTGCTGAAATTTCACATTGCACTCTTGCAGGTTGTTTGATGGATATAGACTCTAGGGTGACAGTTATATTCTTTCAGGATACTGAAGATATCCTCTTGTACTTTTGTTGAGAAGACTTTTCTCAGAAAATTATCTTTCTTTTCTAATTTCTTCAAGAATGTCTTTCTGTGATTAGCTTAATTAAATTTACTATAATGTGTTTATGCAGAGTTTATCCTCGGGATTCATTGGCCTCTTAAATCTGTGAATTGGTATATTTCAGTAGTTTTGGAAAGATCTCATCATTATCGCTTCAAATTCTCACTCATTCTTTCTCTCTTCTCTTTCTATGACTCCAAATAAATATATATTCAACTTCCTAATTATACCTTCTCTTACTTCCTGTATTTTCCATACTCTTAACTCTCCATGTTTTACTATGGCTATTTTCTTCCAATCCATCTTGACTGATTTTCTCTTTAGCTGTGTCTAATTTATTAAACCTGTCCACTAAAATTATTACTTTGGTTATATTTTTTAATTCCAGAAGTCCTATTTTTCAAATATCTTATGCAAAATTGTATCATTTCTGACTTCCTGAAGACATTTTCAAGCTTCTTTTATTTCTTCATACATAGTAAGGATAATAGTTTTATGCTATGTGTCTAAGAATTACAAAAGCTCAATATTTTGTGGGCCTGTTTCTGTTATCTGTTTGGTCTCACTTAAGAAGCCTTAAATGTGTGATCATCTTTGACTGTGTATAGGTCATTTTATTTGGGAAAAAAAATTATAGGAACAATTTGAACTGTAATTTCATCCAGAAAAGATTTTGTTTTGTTTTGCTTCTCATAAGCATTCTGGGGACTCCAGTACAGAATCACCATAACTGAGGTCCAAACCACCCTGGTTCTCCCAGGTGATTTGAATCTAGATTGTAAGACTATATGAGGGCTGTATCACTTCCACTTTACATTGATGGGTCTCAGAAACCCTATGGGCATTTCTCACATTCCCCAATCTAAGTAAGCTAGGGTTTGACCCATTTACTCCATGAGACTACAAAACTACAACTCACTTTGGATCAGCAAATGCCCTTAAAACAACAGTGGCTTTAGTGCTGGGCATCTCTCTCTAGGTCCTAGCATTCTAGTCCAGGAAGTCCTTGTTTTCTTAATAGCAACTCAATGCTTTAAAGAATTTTTTTTCCTTTCCTTTTTCTTCATTTTTGTTTGTTTGTTTGTTTGTTTTTGTTTGCTGGCTTTAAAAATAGTCCTGTGGCCAGGCACGGTGGCTCATGTCTATAATCCCAGCACTTTGGGAGGCAAAGGCGAGAGGACTGCCTGAGCCTCCCTAAGGTCATAGCTGGAGTTCGAGACCAGTCTGGGAAACATGGTGAGACCTCATCTCCACAATAAATTAAAAAAAAAAAAAAAAAATCTATCCAGTTTTTTTAGTTGTCTTTGGTGGGAAACTTGGTTAGAATTATGCAGCCATCAACTACTGGAAGTAGAAGTTTCTCCTACTCTCAATGTTTTCTTTAATTTCAAATTAAGTGGCTCAAGTCACCATCTGTCATTCTGTGGAACGTTCTACAGGGGATTTCCCTGGGGTGTGTCCTCAGCCAGCTTGCCTCTCTCTTTACTCCTCACCCAACACACACTCTTGAAGGCTGCTGCCCATCCTCCTTTCCATGTGGCTTCCCTTATATACACAACCCTTCTTCTTTATTCTCACACCTCACATCTACACTGCAGATTTTTACTAACAGTTTAAAGATGACAGAGAGAAGCTATGAAACTACTCAAGATAGTGCTTTTTAGAAATTCTTAAAAGTGCTTTTTAGAAATTCTTTAATCACTCCTTTTCACAAGAAAATAAAATAGTGATGTTGCCCCTGTTCTGGGATTCCCTTTTACCACCTCACTAAGCTTCTTTCTGTCCCCCCAAAGACCTTGCTCCTCCCTCTCTCTCTCTGATCTCTCCTGATTATTGCGTCTTTATCCTTACAAAACTACCACTGAAACTCTCAAATTCCTTTAACTTTACTTTGTAGAGCAATTTAGCTCCTTTTTAAACTAATCTCATCTGGGCCATGTCCTTAAAATCTCACCTTTCTTAATCAACAAGTCTATGAAGCTGTTTTCCTTCACTGGAGTGTGAAAATTTTCTTAAATAAATGCTGTTCTTCCACTAAAATGCAGAAATGAGGCAGAGCTTTTTGCTTTCCTTTTTTTTGGTAATTTTTTCCTAGAATGTCCTTTGCCCTTAATAAAATCTTTACTGTCCCTGCACAAGTTCCAAGCCCACAAATTCTTTCTCTGGGAGGTTAATGATGAAATAGAAGAGGGAGCCTTGTGTCACTGAGGCCTGAGGATGCTTCTCCCAAACAGTTCCTGAGGGATGATGGCTCCCACAAGTCAAGAGTCCATTTCTGTCAATTCTGTATACTTCCTGCTTTGAAAGCCTGGATATTTTTATTCTGAGACCATCATAGAAATTCTTTAAGATTTCATTAGACTAACAGGAACTAACATTATAGAGTTTAACCTATTATGCCAAAAAATCTCTGTTGCCAAGAACTGATTCTTTAAAAAAAAAAAAAATTTGCAGGATGAAAATGCCCTACTCAGAAGTTGCACTGAAAATAGAAATATGATTTACTAAAAAGTACAGATTTGATTCGGGTTCTTTTGGTTGTTGGTGGTGCCCTTTTAAACAATCATCTAGCAAATCCACAATGTGCTTCTTTCTGAACCACAGCACAAGAGAAAATCAATTCAAGTATTTCCCAAACTGCAGCACTGGAACAAACGAGCCCTAACCACAACTTTCTAACCTCCAAGAAAATATAAAATATGCCTTCTAAGGGACACAAGAGGCAAAGAAGAACCTGCTAAGAAAGTGTAATTCACATCTACTGCAAATCATATTTCAAAGAACTAAATGAGACTGGGGAACACTTGTGAAATTGCTGGTTTGAAAGAATAAAAAAAAGTCCAGCCATACTCAAACAAGATCTCACTGTGAAGCCTACAATAAATGTCTGAAAGTGCACTAACAGAGGCAAAAAACCAGTATTTTGAATTGATAGGTTGAAAAGTAGCTAAATTTAATACTGAATCAAAAAAAGTATGATTGGAAGAACTGTATAAAACTTCATAATATGGAAATTAGGTAATAACCATTAAACACAAAGCTAAAAATCAGATTCAATCAAGGAACAAAATGGAGTTTATAATTTGTATGACTCCATTTTATAATGTCATTCAGTGGTTTCCCAAACCAAGTGCTTTTCCTATGACGACTGAGGCTACAGTTTTCCAGGCTAAAGGTACAGTGAGGGGGAAAGTATCCTAGATAGAAAAATGGTGTACGAATGCAGAGAGCAGAGTACTAAAGGACTGCAAACAACCACTACACTACAGTAACCTACAGGCACTCAGAGGCAGGGCACTGAAAGGCATATGGCCAGGTCTAAGTTTTAAACAAAGTACAATTTCTCTGTACATTCAGTGAAATAATTTGCCAGGCTCACAGGGGACTCCTTTTGAAAGAGCATGTCTCTTCATACTTCATCACTGACCAACTGGTATCACAAATATATGCCTGGTTCTGCTTGGCATCACTTTGTTAATGCTCTGTTCATTAATTTAACAAACTATCAGGAGAATATGCCCGGAATGGGCAAGCATTATCTCTCAACTTTCATTTAATTAAACTCTGCTATTGCAATATGACAGTCAGCACATCGCAGGGGGAATTATTTTAAGGATGAGGTAAAAAGTATTTCAAAGCCCCCACTTAAATATGAAAGCATAATCTAAAATTGCCCGAGCACACACTATAATTTTTCTATAATATTAAAGATGTTATTTCCAGACTTGGTAATTAATTGGATTCCATGGAGAAATTATTCTAGCATCCTTGATAGAAAAATGATGCACAAAGGCAGAGAACAGAGTACCAAAGGACAGCCATAAACAACCACTCTGTCGTCCAGATTATGACAATCACCAGGCTTAATAAGGAGTGAGTGCTGCCTGCTTCTGGTGCACAAGCATTACACTCCTGCAAAGTGAATGCACTGAATTCTGATTATATAGCCTTAATAAAAAGAAATGAGAGCAGCTCATGCTCCAGCAGCTGCCTCACAAGGATGCGCAGGAGTGATTCTGAGCAGGCTGGAGTGTCACTGGCTGAATGAGGACAGCCTCCTCTCACGCTGAAGGCTGGGGAGGCCACATCCCCCACCCTCAGAGAGAGGGCTGCTCAGAAAGCTGGCTTACCATCAATCCGGCTCACGAGCTCTTGTAACATTTTCACTTTCATTTGAATCCCAGGTTGGGCAAAAGTGTAGTTGTCCTAAGGAAAAAATAATAACATGTATCATATGCATATAAAGTAAAACATTTTCCAAAGGGGAAAAAGGCAGTTGGAGTAAAGATGAACAGTCTTATAACAGAAGGAATTCACAAACGGCTAGATTTTATCTTGAGAAATAAACAAGAGGACGCACACTGGCCAACAAGCAGCGCTGAAGAATCTTATTTTGAGGAAGGAAAGCCTGACATTTCCTGATGTCAGAGGATGAGCATACACATCTCAGGAATATTAAATGGCACACTTCTATATGTAAAAGAAAGATATTTGCACTTAAATTGAACAAATGGGCACCCATGTTATAGTTCATGGAGGAGAACTGTCTATACAAACTGACTGCCTGGCTGCACACCTGGACCCCACACTCTTAGCACTGCCAGGAAGCCAATGGGAAGTGACAAATGGGCCAGCACTGACAGCACCAGCATCATGCCCCCAACCCAAGTGATAATGACAGGGTCAATGCATAGGAGAAAAAATGAGCATTAGACTTTACTCTCAGAGGTAGAATTGAGTGAACTCAAGTGAAGTTCATAAACCAAGATAGGAAAGTCTGTAGCATCAAGGTGTTGGGGGAGGGGGACACCCTGGGCAATTTTAAGCCAATCAGACCAGAAATGAAATCCCACTTAGAAGCTGTGTTACCTTGCCAAGTAACAAAACCTCTCTGGACTTCAGTTTCATCATCTCTAACATGAGAATAATAACCTTGTCTTCTGGGACTGTCTGAGGTTTCAAGGAAATAATGTAAGTGGAATGAGCAGGAGGTCTCAAGTTACATCAGGTTCTCAGGAAATGACTGGCTGTATTACTGCTACTGTCACCACCTAAGAGAGCACAAACATGCAGCTAGAGGACTTGGCCAGAAAATTCGCAAAGGACTGTTGATACCCACCTCATCACATGGTAGGGACACAGAAGCAGAACCAGTCAGAAAGAAAAGGGAATCTCACAGAAGTAGCCCTTAGAGCCTCAGCCAGTGCTCAGGGATCCTTTTCAGAATGAGAGATACAACTGGACTCATGCAGCAACAGACTTAATACATACTTGACAATGGTGAATGTGGAAGGCAGAATAATCGCCCCCAAAGACATCCGCATCCTAATCCCTGGAACCTGTGAATGCGTCACCTTACATGGCAAAGGAGAATTAAGGCTGCAGATGGAACTAATGTTGCTAATCAGCTGACTTTAGACAGGGAAATTATCCTTAATTATATGGTGGACCCAATGTAATCACAGGGTCCTTAAAAGTGGGAGGAGGAGGCAGGAGAGTCAGGCAGAGAGATGCCATGTGAGAAGGATTCAACCTCCCAATGCTTGCTTTGATGATGAAGGAAGGGCCATGAGCCAAGGAATGCACATGCCTCTAGAAGCTGGAAAGGACAAGGAATGAATTATACCCTGGATCCTTCGGGAAGAACACCACCTGAATGACACCTTGATTTTAGCCTCCTGAGACCCACATCAGACTTCTGACCTCCAGAACTAAGATAATAAATCTATGCTGTTTTAAGCCATTAAGTCTATGGTAATTTGTTATGGCAACAACAAGAAAATAATACAGAAGGTCTAGAGGATGTTCTTTATTGGGTGTCCTAAGACTCACTAAAAAGTAAAAAGAGAATTGAGAGGTACCAAAACGACTACACTGTCCCCAGGGTTCTTGTAGGGTCCAGGCTCAGGCTTTGAACTCTCTAGTGAGCAGACAGGGCCTCTGGCCTGGCCAGCGCTGGAAGATGGCAGCTTGCAGCAGCTTTACCCTCAGACAGTGTCACTGGGGAAGGCCACGCAAGTCTCAGCAAAAGGAACCCAGGGCCCTGGTCTCAGGAAGGCCACAGGCAACATGGCCTTGGTCCAAACAGAAGGAATTGGGCAAGGATAGCTGCTGCTCACCAGGGAGGCTCCAGACCACTGAGCAAGTGCTCAGTTACAGAAAGCAGAGTTGGTGTAGCCTTTCAGAGATTGGGGAATGGATGATCTGCTGCCTGCATACCCAAGGGCAGCAGGTGCCTACAAGCACCACAGGGCATAAGGGAGGTACTGGCTTCGCATGGTTGGGGCCAGGACTACATGCGCAGCACAACAGTAACTGTCCACATCCCACCAGGCATTAAAAGCCCAGGAGAGAAGTGGAGGGATAGATCTGGACTTGACATTCCTTATCCACTCAGGACTGAAAACCACTCAGCATTTCTAGGGGTGGTCGACCACATTCTCTATGCTCTGAGGGTTTTATAGAATCCAAATATAGAGGAAGGAGAACAGAGGGTATCAGCCCCTGGGAGGCACTGGGGGACATAGGACAGCATTCATATTACTCCCAGCTCCAGAACCCAGAAGGGAGATTCCAGGTGAGACAAATGTGAAGCTGAGAGGCCAGCCTTCAGACAAGCAGCAGTTTCTGGGGTCAGAAAGTCAAATGTGAATATACAAAGTCAGCACTCTCTACATGTCTCAATCTCTCTCTCTCTCTCTCTCTCTCTCTCTCTCTCATAAACACACAAGTTGTGCATGCACACACACACACGCACATGCACGACCTTTCCTAACAAGAACAGGCGTAGCAGTCACTGTGGCACAGAACTAAAAATGCCTATGAGGCATTGAGGATTTTTTTTACCCCAGAAATGGAAAATTAACAAAGTCAAACCTACCCTCTTGCTGGGAAATTTCTCCCAGGTGGATTCTGAGTGACAAGCTCTGGATTCCAAACTGTCACATCTCTGTAAGGGCAAACCCAGGAAGATTTGTGTTTGCCAGCTTTACTTAGAATGCCGCCAAGGTCCTCCCATGACCTTGGGCAGCAGGAAGTCCAGGCTCTTGGGACATGATCTTGCCTGGGATGCCTAAACCAGAGGGAGGATTTTTTTTCTAGATTTAGCGAACCAATTATGTGATAAGCTTGTGAATCCTCCTAAAATCTGAAGTACGAGCTGTCCAAGACTCGCCATTTAGTGGACAGGACTTCTGGGCTCTGAAGGAGCTGTGTTCATACCAGTGAGACCCCAGCATCCCTCTAGCTAAGACAGAGCAGCAGCAGAAGTTAAGGGCAAATCGTGAATTTTAGTGGATGTGAACTTTAATATGGGTAAGAAATTTTGGCTCTGGATTTTAATTCCTTTGAATGTCATCATATTTGGACCTAAATTTGCAACGGTTAATCTTTAAGACTTAATTTTCCCTCGCAGATTGGATAGCAGAAGGAGATTTATATTCAAATTTGTGGTATACTATGTTGTTGGAAGTTTATATACTATCATTTAACCTACTGGAGGAATTTTTGATGAGCTAGGTTGAACAATAAACCCGGACAGAATCAAGGATGAGAAATAAACTAGACAGTGATTTTGCAGCCTCAGATACAGAGAGGACTTAAGATTATTTATTTCATGTCCTATTCTGAAAAATCAGAATTTCAGAGTCATTGGGAACACATTCTAACACCCTACTAGTCTGTCCTGATGGACTGTTGCTCTCCTCCATGCCCTGGCTGAACAGGACCCCCATTAAACAAACAACAAACAGACCTGGGGTCTACTTCCCCAGGGAGAGAGCTCAGTTGGTACCTCTCCCATACTTTCTCCATCCCCAGAAATACTCCTTCCAAGGAGGCAACTTATCCATTGCAAAACCTGGAAGAAGAAAGTGAGTTCAGCCCCCTTTCTGCCTCTCAGAGTTGGCTGCTCTCCTTGCCACAAGGTTCTGTTGCACATGAGAATGGCCCTGCACGCAGCACTGGCTCTGATAGGGTAGGTGAGCCTGAATAATCCTGGGATTCAGTCAGCCGGTTTATTTGGCTCTCACACTAAGATAGGATTTCAAGCCTCTCATTTAGCAGAAATAAAAGTTATTCTATGGCCTCCATCTGCCACTATTTTGTTTTATTTCTCAATTTGTTCAAAACCCAGGTAGGGAGATGGGTTCTCAGAAATCCAAACAATGAGAAAAGAATGACACTTGAGAGCCTATAAAAAGAAAATCAGTATTTTGAAAAGACCTGCAAAGACTAATAGGTACAGCCTTGGCATTCTGGCTGCAGGCTAGGGACAGAGAAGACCAGTCTTCAGACAGGGTAAAACACAGCTGGCTGGACTGAACCCCAGAGAGTAAGGTCCACCAAGGTTAAGACCCCCCGGTTCTGTTCACTCAAGGGAGAGAAACTAGATTTATTCTCAGGATACCCACCCTAGCACCCCTCCACAACACACCTGACAGGGGGAAACACCATACCCAGAACACAGGTGCTGTGTGAATATATGAATGGGCAGAAAAACAGGAATTAAGAAAGGTACTATATACTTATAAAAATGTTAATAGTAATAATATTAATATTATTTCCTTCATAAAAAGTAAATATGTGTATCCTATCAAAATGAGATTTTTATTTTGTGCCTTTAAAAAAGGATGTAATTTACAAAACCTATGGGTCAGAGAGAGGAAAGGAAGGTCTAAGGAATACAAAGGCCTTTTGTGAAATATTTTACAGAAGGTAAAGTCAAAGAAAACACACTCATCTTGCCTTACATCTATTGCTATTCCAACATCACGCTGCTGGCAGCAACAAATAACACTTTCTGTGCTTGTCAGAAGAAAAGTAGAGTAAAACTTTCTGAAAAGAATATTTTAGAGAAGAGCTAAAATATAAATTCCTATCAGATTAGCTGGAAGAACCCAGAGCCCCTAACTATTAAACCTTCCAGCTCATAGAGAGCCAGAAATTCTTTTACGTCTCTGGAAAGGGCTCTTCCAACTGGACCAGGGATTCAGCTCACCACAAAGTCCAGCATCCCTTTTCCAGGTCAATCGCATTCTATTAGAATTTCTTTCCCACAGTGAAACCAAATTTTTCTTCTTTACCCAGGCCTTGACCTATCTCTGAAACAGTTCAGAAAGTACCTTCTGCAACAAAGGGCCTGACAGAGTTCCATTTCCTTCAACTCTTTTTTTTTTTTTTGGGGGGGGGGGGTTGGAGTCTCACTC